GTAGTTCACATCTCTATTGTATACTCGTTTACATTAAAACCTGAAGAAAAATTTAAATACTATGTACGCGAATTATAATATGAGTTTTGTAATGGGAAAATAACGAAAAATATATTAATATGTATTTTACCGATGAAAAACCGGTGACATCATTTTTCGCATGAAGTATTTGTGAACGACAATTTCCTCGGAAAGCGGAAAAAAATAATAATTCGACCTTGCAAGGCCGCCGCCGGGCCAGTGCACTCGTTTGACCCGGCCTACCTACCGTACATTCAATACAATATGTACAGGTATACCTTACAACACTAATACGTATTCACAACACGCACTTCGTCTGAACACGCTGGGCACATGGCTAATCCACCTCTTCGGCAGCAGCAGTCGACCATGCCCCCCCGCGCACGACCGTTAATTGCGCCGCCGCCCAACGAATTAACGGCCCACGAGCGACTACCGCGGTGTACACGACGTTGCACCGATCGGTTTCACAGACGATGCAACTATATTGAATAATATTATTATTAATATAGAGTATAATATGCGAGCGTCGAAAAACAAAATAATAATATAGACCGTAAGAATGCACGCGCTCCCGTCGGCGACGTGTACGAGTAAATCGCATAAAAATTAGACACTGCGTTTAGTCCGTCTACGGCAACAAATGCATAATATTTTACCGTATTATAAACGATTATCCGTAATAACAGTGTACGATAGTAATCGCCCTATGTTATAATAGTTCAGCACTATAGCGTGATGTGTGGTATAGTTTGGTTTATGTGGTACAAGTGGTGTGTCGCTGTAACATGTGTCTCATTTTTATTATTTTTTTTTATGTAAATCGTAGGCCAGATTTACTTTATGTATATACGTAATTCACGTTGAAAGATATTTTTGAAGAAATCAATATTTTCCTGATTTAGGACTGGCGAAATAATTGTATAAATATGCTTATATGAATTATATGGTTAAAAATATTATGACGCAAATTTACGTACGTTTCAAAATACCCGATCCGCAATTTACGCAATACGCATGACTGTGATCTTTTTACAGGGAAGCAATTTATCTTTTTAGTGCTCAGTAGTCGTTCGCTTTTCTGTAACGAGTTAGGAAGGATATAATATTATTAATGATTTACATAGGTAATAGATGATACAGGTACCAGAAAATTTGAACGTGAATTTATTAATTTATACTGACCGGATAGGTAAAAAAACGTGATACGCCCACAAAATCTGCACTAGTGACGACAGATCCAAAACAACCGTCCACATAAATTATTATAATATTATAATAAGATCCGCAACCGTTTATTTTATACACCGATGAATGAGACGACAAAATATATGTTGTACTCACACCTACACTCACAGAAAACGGGTTCCTGTATAAACTTCTGAATTCGACGAAGACAGATGACCCATTTGGGGGACCCCCCTTCAAACCAAGTTTGCGATAATACATCGAATATATTTACGTATACATGTAGGAAACATGATACACGTGCGGTTTCTTCGACCGTTGTCCAAAGATGAGATGTTATAAACCGTTGCGGTTATACACGATTCTTAATATTTTATTACACTTGATTTGCGTTATACATTTTGTTATTTACTATAATATTATATTTTATTACAAGGAAACGGTTTTCTTTATACTTTGTCGTCTATTTTCTGATCGTGATTGATCTCGTCTTCTCGTCTTTGGTCACGTGATGAACCGTCACAGTGCAAAAAACATTTCTTATAGTATCCTATACGTTTATAATGTATTTACGTATAAGAATATAACATAAGCTACAATTATACCTGTACGGCTGTTATACTACACAAACGTTTGATACACGTAACATTAACACTCGTAATAATACACATATATGGCGTGCCCCAGTAATACAGGCCATCACTCGGTCGTAGTCGTCGTGACTATCGTGTGCGGGTAGTATTGACATTCATTAAAAAAAACACACACACACACAAAGATATTCTCACATTTGTGTGATACACCGAAGCCTCGCATTAAAACCGTTTTGCGAACATTGGATTAGGTGCCTGGTGGTATTCGAGTACACGTTTTTTAGTTATCTAAAAGCACACGACGTCTATAGCACGGTGATGTTTATCCAATAAGTACTAATTTCTATATGCGTTTGTCATTAGTGTTATTACCAATACCAACAAACTCTACACCTCTGTTTCACGCGATGAATTAGTTTAAAATAGAACACTAATCTAATAAATAATATACACGACAGCATAAATACTATCGTAAAAATACTGATCTATTGTGAACTAAATAGATTTGCATTTGTTAAAATCCAAAAAACATATTTTATTGTTGATATATGCATAAGATAAGACCTTGCAAGATTTTTTTCAAGCATTTTTTTTTTTTAAATTAAACTTGTTCGTAATAAATCAAATAGATCTACAAGTAGTGTAAATATTAAATAAAAAAAACCAAGACTGGAAATATATATTTTTTATCGGCAGTATGATATAAAAAAACCCCTATATCTATACATTTATCTCTATACAATTACATTTAACAGTAATCACTACTCACAAGTAATATATTACCAGACAATATTATATACATAAATGTTTCATATATTTCCTGATAACAAACAGTGAATGAAAAAAATAAATAAACTGAATTGAAATTCATGAATGCAAAAAGCTACGATATTGTAATTAGATTAGTTTGATTTAGGCTCCCTACACATATTTTAGTATTTATTTACTAATATTTACGTGTTACAATTTTTAAATACTATGAGATAAATCAATTATTTATTTTATCATAATATACAGTTGTAATACGTATTAATTAGAGTGTGATGATTTCGTACAGCATGTTTAAAATAATAAATAATAAAGCAAATTTTTAATGAATAAAGAAATTTTATTTAAAAATTACTAGTTTATATATAATATATATATAAATATTATAGCGGAAATATAATGAAACTGACCTACTACAAAAACATTATTTTTAATTAGTTTCCAGCAAATAATTGTTATTAAAATTATTTATGTGTTTTATGATCTTTCTATGAATTCGTACATTCTAGTTTTCGCTTTCATATATATTTTAATAAATTTACCGTGAAATAAATTTTTATTTAACTAGCATTATCACTCTGATTGTGAATTGTCACAGAAAACTGTACACCGATAACTAAAAAAAGAGAAACAAGTAGTTTTTACTGCCCCTTATATGTGATTATACAATTTTAATAACGTTATTCTTGATTTCGTTACATACACAATAGGTAATAAGACAGATAAGGTTTATTGCTAAATAAAATCCCGTTGATAGTTTTCCGTGCCATATAAAAGTTAAGTTACATTAACACTGCGAGAAATCGTTTATATATATATATATATTACATATTATATGTATTGTATATATACAATATACTATATAGTATTTACGCATTTAGGTCTTATAGGGCGTTCGACCATTAGTCATAAAGTTAATACGCGTTACAGATAATGTAAAAACACTAGATATTATATTTTCAAACACTTATAAGTTATAAATAATTATGTGTACCTAAGAAATAAATAGTAATGATATTTCCTATATTATACTTAGGAGGAAACTAATAGAGGAAAAATACATCGAAAAGAAAATTAATTTTGAATATTTTATATAAATATTTTTTCGCACAAACATCATGATATTAAACACATATTATGACCAAAGACGTCATTTGGCACCCATCACGACCCACCTGTAATTACTATTGTATTAAAGAATTATAGAACTGTATGTGCACTTCATTATAAATTACCTATTTGACACAAGTCATAAAAAAAACCTACTTTCGCCGCGTTCGTACAATAATTCAGTATTAAACACCCATATACTAAATTAATGCCTATATCAGAGATCAGAATTTAGACTTAACCCGCAGCGCACGTCATATATTATAATAGTAGGTATGGACAGCTATAGATGACCCACAACCTAATCTTTTTGACGATCATACGATTAAAATCCAGGCCACGTAGCTTATAAAAACTTAAAACTAGAATTTTGGTTAATTTGAGTGAACTATACCCATAATATATAATATATAGGTACTACAAAATATTCCCCTGTGGTATTCATAGTATTACAACGATATAATATGCGTAGGTATATAAATAATATCATGATATATTTAATAGTAATGCGTGATTTATGAGTATATATAACGTAAAGGTATACTTGCATTCTATCAATAGAACTTATACATAGATATATGTACTGACTACTGGGTGAACCATTTAACGGGACGCACTCATTATTTCATAATCTATTTTTGTTTTTGAAAATATTGTTTAAACATAATTTTAGGTCTCTAAAAAAATTTTTTTCTTCTTAATAATAGCGTTTATTTTAATTTCTCATTCAAAAGCAGAATATTTTTCGGAGTACTAATATAGATATATACAAAACCATATCTTTTGATTTATGAGTTTTTGGTGTTTAAAGTTCAGATGAGTGAAGTGGAGTGGTGTGGTGCAGAGGTAATCCGCGAAATTTTGGCCCGCTACTGCGCTCTTAATAAATTTACAACCATTATACGAAAATTACTATCCGAAAATTGATTTTTATAGATCGAGATGAATGATATTCTGCTTTTGAATATGAAATTAAATACGTATATTGTCATTAAAAAGAATAGTGAGGAACTTAAAAAATAATATCGATAAAAAATAGCAAAAATATAGTTTCTTTCCCCCACAAAAAAAAAAAAAACTACTCGAAATCATGTCAAAAAAATATTTTCAAAAACTTTAAGTAATGTTCTCTGAAATAACTATAACGCACCACGTCAAACGAATCACCCCGTATACAACTATATAAACGACTATAAGCGACAACACATAATATTATACGAACTTCTCATATAATACATATTATATTTTATAGGTACCTACCTCCATTTATATATATATATAATATATGATTTTTAATCGAGTGTGTATGTATTTGTACAGGTCGCAGCGGTTATTATGGATCTCACATACTTGGTCGTCGCCGTATTCGGAATGTGCGTCTTGCGGCCGTGCAGTTCGCTGCCTGCAGCAGCCGCCGCCGCCGCCGCCGCTGCTCCTACGCCTACCCCATCATCACCATCGCTGCAGGTCGCCGCCGCCGAACCGGCCGTCCACAATGACAAAAGGTCCAGGTCGCTGTTCCAGTCGCCGCCGCAGGCTCCGCACCAGTACCATCTCCACGCCGGCGGTGCGGTCGATCTGTACGATGACGTGATGAACGACTTACCGTATTACCTGCAGCACCAACAGCACCAGCACCAGCAACAGCAGCAATTGTTGCAGGACCCGACCGGCGAGGACGATCTGAGGATGACCGTCGACGAGGACGACGACAACGGCGAAAACGGCGTCGGCCAGGACATTATGCGGCTGTCGAGCCGGGCACGACCCGCCAAGCCCGACTCGCCCATGTACTTTATCCGGTTACCGCCGCAACCGTACATGTACGTGCCCGGTTACGGTTACGTCAGCCAACCGACCCGGTTGGAACCGCCGCCGTTCACGCAGCGGCCGCACTCGCCGTTCCTGAACCTGCCGCTGAGCTACGTGTCCAACGCCAAGCCCGTGGGCATCTACACGCTGCCGCAACAGCACCACCAACAGCAGCAGCAGCATTTGTCGGTCAGGCCGCCGAAACCCAACAGACGTCCACAACCGTCACCCACGCCACCGCCTCCGCCGCCGCAGCAACAGCAACCGGATTCGCCCATCTACAATCTGGACAAAGGTCCGTACGTGTTCAACGGCCGTCCGACCGACGTTTTCCTGTTGCAGAGCGCATACGACAACTTGTACTCTGAAGTGTTGCAAAACATTTACCCATAAACGACCGTCGCGCGATTTATCACGGACGATACGAGACAATATATCGTTATAATTATTATAAAACATTGTAATTTATTATTATGATTATTATTATTATTATTATTATTATTACTATTATTAGTCATTAATCGCAACGCCGAGCCTCGACGCCGACCGCCGTCGTGATCGTCTAAGAAGACTATCTGTTCACGTGATCTTACGAATCAAAAACATAAAAATTAAATAATAAGAGATACGGACGCGACCGCTGATGTAAATAATATACACATCAAACTGGAATGACAACGCGCGTATTCTATTATAATTATTTATTATTATTTTCTTACTTTTTATTGTTATTATATATTTATTCGAATTTTTGTTTTTGTAATTTATTATTTTATGAGAATTATTTAAAACAATTGTTGTAACGATTTTAAATGTTGTACATAATTATATATTTTTATAGTCAATAATTTCGTCTATTTCCCTTCTGTTCGACCTCCACAAATTATACTCGACAAAAATCTATTTTAATGCGTTACTGCGCTTAATTTAGTTGTGATTTTGCACGGCTTCTGGTTTATAAATAAAATTGTAATTTTCAGAAAACATTCTGTATCAGATTGTCAAGTCTAAATATCAATGATTGCCACTAAAGAATACAGCTTAAAAAAAAACAATCAGTTTAATCGATTTAAATTTACCACTCTTATAATAGTTATGATTATTACAAACAGAGCAAAAATAAAAATAACTCAATTACTGTAGCATGTTAAACAGATCATTTATATCACTATTAATTACCTGTTCTTTATATATGTATGTTGTATATTATAAATTATTTATTTTATAGTTTATGTACGGCATCATATGTGTTACAATACTTTCCACACGATGCATACACTAGAAATGTGTATACGTATATTATTATAACTTTTTATACGGTTATCGGAATAGTTAAACTAAAACTAGTACGTTTTATTTTATATATTTGTGTACATTCGTACCTGCGCTTTGGACTTGTATATTATTGTGTATTTTCCGTCTGCAATATATTATAGAAAATAGAAAAATATTGTAATTAATTAAAGATTCTTATAAACATAACAGGATTTAATTTATATACCCAACGAAACGACATTAATCCTTATTCTCTACGCATCGCAGCAGTTTAGTTAAAAATATATTATATTATTTTATATTTTTCAATCGATCCAAGTGTATTGGACGGAAACAATACATTTCTACATATTATTATAAACCACTCACAATAAGTTTCCCGCGTTCTGTATACATTCCTCCGTCGTTGAACAATGTACGTTTTATTTTATTTTTTTTTTTAAGCATAAATAACATATATCATTTCAAATACGTATAATTTTACAAAGACTAATTATATTTCAATTGTTTAATTTATTGCTGATATAAGTAACGACGTGAAACCATTAATCCTTTTTACAAGCATATATGTAAGGGGTTAACTATACATGATATATTCACATTTTATTGTTTATTCTGAACTTTACTGTATAGTCAATATATAGTATACTATCAGTATACTGCTACATTACTTATGTTATAGTGTATAAATAGTATTACAATGTCTTCGTTAATATTTAATATCTACTAAGATACTAACCCATTCACAGTTTAACTCAATTTTCGGATTATACATATTTATATACTTATGCATTATTTATCACATATTGTATTATGTAACTCATAATTTATCTATTATCTGAAACCTCCATTTTGTACATTTAAGCTTGATCAATTTAAATGCCTAAATATTATCAACTTAACAAATTATAATTAAAAGTTAATCTTTTATTATCTAGTTGGATATCAACTATAGAAATATACAATAATAAAAGTTTACCATTGTATATTTTTCTTGAATTGTTCAAAGTTGTGAAAATAACTTATACATTTTTTTTCCAAATAATTAATCATTTACTAAATATTATACATATATAAAATGTATGCAAAATAATAAACAATTGATTTATCTACCTTCTATGCATTATGAGAAAAGTTTCTATTAAAGGCAGAGAATTACTTTTTAGTTTTTATTTATATACCTACTATAAATACGAAATAGTTTTATTTCGTATTTAATACTAATGCAATGATAAGATAATTGTGTTTCGTCATAATTCAAACCAATAACAATTGCTTAAAGTCGTAGGTATTTATACTAATATTATCATTTACTCTTCGACATTTTTTAAAATTATCAAGACAATTGAAATAAAAAAAGCTAATAAAAAATAATTTTTTATAGTTTAAAAAATAATGCATTGGCATAGTCATCCATTATTGTTATATGTATATAACATAAAATCTACTATTATTTTTTTCAAATAATTAAACTTAAAGCTAACGGTTATTAAAATAATAATTAATTAAATTAATTTAAATTTTCTACTATATAGATAGTCTATGTGGCTATATGTATGAAACTTTATAATTATCCGAGATCCGACTATACCTAAGAAGATATATACAAACACTATAACCTCAATCCGTACAAACTCATATAGGAAAATATATAAAAATAAGATTTTTAAATTTATGACTAACCAAAGTTCACATGGTGTAACATAAATCATATACTTTATGACATGGTATCCTTTTTAACTCTTATACAGTATTGCCGGTAGAAGGTTTTGAAAATCTCAGAACCCATTTGTAGGGAAAAAACATCAATTTTATTTCCATTATTCTATTATTTCATGTAAAAATTCTCATGGTACATTTTCAGATACATAAATTAATAATTAGTTATTAATAATATCAGTATTATAGAAAATGTGAACAAATTTCAAATAAGAAAAATTATAATTAAAAAATACCATATCCAACGTTTATATTATATACCTATTAAAAATTAAGATAAACATGATTAAATTATGTTAGTTGATCTTCACTTGGACCAATTCTTCTGTTTAATAATTAGAGGACACTCTTATTTTTATGATCCGTGCTTAATCCATACAGATGCTTCAATACTTGTTATAATTTGTACGATGATTGTAAGGGGTATTGAATGCATACGAAAAACAGGTTTTTTATATTTTTAAATTTATTAAGCCGTTTATTAGTATTGGTCGGAACCGTTAGAAACCAGTTACCTATAAAGGCACTTGCGAATTCTTTATACTTTTGTACTAAAAAAAAAAAATTATACACACACAGAAACAACAAAAACAACAAGTATAAAAGCACCAATGTGGTTTATTTGACGAGATGATGGCCCACTCAAACAATAATAATATTATTTCCATCTTTTAATTATATTAATATACTGTCTTGTAAATTAATTGCATACATATTATTACTCTGCATATTGTTTAGTTATTAAATATTTATTTATAATTTCATGACCCGTTTCAAAATAATATTGACTCTGATATTAGTATAATAGCTGTATATACTGTATTCATTACACAATTATAATTTATAATTAAATCCATCAACTACTGCAAGCGAAGATTAATAATTTGTCTATAGAATTAATTGTGTATGTTCTTCACACTCCTGTTTAGCTGCCAAGTCGAACCTGAGATATGCTTTCGATCACAGACAGTTGAAAATTATTTTTTCACGTACCTACGTTGAAGATAAATGAAAATAATAACTAAATACTTAATAAGTTTTTTTTCTATCATCTGTAGTGTATTTTAAATATTAGACCGTGAATAATTTTTAACAATTGCCTTTTAAATAACTACATTTAAAAAAAATTTGAGTGTCATTTAATAAACTCTATGTAGCTACAACATTGAAATTTATTTCCATATCAGTTAGTAATTTAAATGTTAAATATGTATGCTTGACAGAGTCTTAAACAAATTAAAGAGAAATTATTTTTGAATCAAGGTTTCTAAAAAATCTAACATTAAATCACTATTAAGCACCTTGGGCGTATTGAAAATAATAAGATCAATGCATTTATGTAGCATAAAAATATTGATTAATCAACGAATACGTATTAAGGAAATACCAATTAATAATAAAAATTGTTTTAAAAATATTTTAAAAGAGAACTGTGCAGAAAATCGGGCCAAGTAGATATAATTTATTATATGCTACAGTAAATTTTATAAGCCTCATATTTATAAATTATAGTAAACAAAATACTTGAATGTTTCCCACACATTACATATTATATGATTCAAATTTGTGTCATTAAACTGGTTGAAGCAAATATTTAATCCGACAATAATTCTATTAACTTTCATGCAAAATAGTATAAAATACGGTAAAAAATATAGCTATTAGTTTTATTTTTACTTTAATTTCAAACGCTACAATAAACAAAACATAGAACAATTTAACCATAAACGAAAAACATAATTTATAGTATGGATATATACCAACTTTTAAAACTATTTTATTAATGTATACATTTTAAACCTAAATAGTATGTATGTAGTTTTATTTAAATGTACGTACAGAATTTATACTTGTCATAGAAATATCAATAATATTTTTGGTCCTACTCCGTTTTTTTCATTTGGTTATATTGCAAATCCTATTTAGTGTTATTTTTGGCCAGCGAGAGGCACTAATCCTTCTTGTCATAAAATATGTTGTACGCGTGTCTGTACAATATAATATAAGATACGGCGTGCACAGTCGAACGACCTTTAACGATCGGAAGAGTGCATTTTTGTTCATTTATTATAAAACGCTACGACGAAAAGTGTACGCTACCCTCCGCAATTGGGGTGGCTATAATGCATTTCTGCCGCGCCCCAAAACACGCAAACAACAATAACAAGTATCATAACTGCGCGGTTGAAAGAAAAATCATACATTTGATTGTGTTCGTGCGACACTCGTTTGTCAGACTATCGATTCGCGGATAAAACACATTATTATTATTATTGTAGTCTTTGTACAAAAACTCGGACATTCGCAGCTTTTACATTTTACTTTATTCGTTGATGTTTTTACATTTTATACGACAGTTACATGAAAATTTAGCACCTTCGTCAAATAACGGAAAATACTCAAAATATATCAATTCTACGAAACCGTTCAATTCAAAGGTTAGAGGTACGCATATGTAATTTTCACGTATTCAAAGACAAACGGTACGTTGTTATTTTTTATATTAATTTTACTTTATGTACATTCATACCTAATATATCTACTCATAAAACGTACCGTAGATTTTTGTATTTTCCAATACACATTAAATACGAACATAGGTATATATGCTTAATTGCATAAACTACGCATCTGTATTGTGGAAACTAAAAAAAAATGTCCCTGTCATAATTGAGTTTGATTATCGTTTATTTTCGGTCTACTAACGCTACTAATGTACGTTTAATTAGTTTTAAAACAACATATTTAATACCATTCATATATTTAGAAAAAATCGAGTGGCAACAGTGAAAAAAATGCTTTCACATTTTTTTTAAATAGATTTTTAATAGCAATATACGTTATTTGTGCGACAAGAGTATGGGTGCATGCGCGCATGTATGTGTGTGTACGAATATGTGTGTGTTTAACAATATTGCCCGCCCTCTTTATTTCCTACTCAAACGAAGATGTACCTACCGGCATGGAGAGATGAGTGCTTCGCTTGCCGCGTTTCCTAACCTCAGTCGCGTCGTCAGTTGATCTTCGGCTTCCACTTTGTGAAGTTTGGCATAGTGAAGTCTCAGTAAATTTCGTTTCAAAAATTTTCTTTGAACATACGTAAAACACTGAAACAACCAAATCGAAAATAAAACTGCACTTTTCCGATTCGCATCGGCATTCACAAAAGCTTATTTGTACAAATATTAAGGTTAGTATTATTATTAATTTTGTTTTAATTTTAATAGTATGTAACTAAGAATAATGAATATGTTGTGTTAAGTGTTCATACTTAATTTTTGAATTAATTATTAATTATTTAGTCAAGTTATTACCATAAGATATATATTAAATATTTAAATTAAGGTAGGTAGTTATAGTTTTTTTTTGGGGGGTATTCTTTTTCTTGTATACAGATTATAAACAATAGAAATAAAGTTATAACAAAAATAGAAAGTTAAAAAATTGAATATATTAATATAGGGTTAACAACATTTTTGAATTTAGTATGTACCAGCTTAAAATATAGTAATTTTATGTTATAACTATAGTTTGCCGATAATATTTAAAGTCAGCGTGTATTGTACAATTATTACAAAAAATTTACTTTTTAAATTTAATTTTGATACTTAATCAAATTCAAAAATATAATTAAATATAAGTTCTATTAATTGAAAAATTATTAATACTTTTTAAAAGTATATATATAACTATTATTAAACATCATATAAGTTTTTCAAAATAAATCTTTTTATGTAACTACTTCCTAGTATTAACCATAAAAATACATAACTTTGTATTTGTAGATACAAAAAAAGTATCATCTATTTAGATATTGTACATTTTTTATAAGCTGTCACTTATTTTACTATGACAAAGTATATTTTTCATAGTCATTACATATATAAATATATATATGATGATAAATAAGATAATAAATAGATATAATAAGATATAAATATATATATATGATAAATAAGAGTACTTAAATTATTAATATTACTACAGATGACATTAGATTCGGAATATTTTTTTTCATATACCTATACACCTACATTCAAATTTTATGTTTTATTTTTCTTTAAAAATCAAAGGTGAATGTATTCCTAATACTGTAACATTGCCGTCTATTTGATCATATAATATGTAGATATATTAATATTGTTATAAATTATAGTATCAGACATATATATTATATTCAAGAACTCGCATGCATATACATTTATCATTCATGGTTCAATATTTTTGGCGTGGTCACATGAACTTACCAATACGTCATTTAAACTGAATAAAAGAATTAAAACAATTTTTAGTCAAATCACACGCAATTATTATTTTATTACAAACCACTAGTTTTTTTTTGAAATGATAATTAATATAACAATTAACTCTAACGCTGACATCACAACATTTTAAACGAGGCGGAACTGAATACAATCGTATCCTCAGAAGCATTTAAATAATTATGATATTTTAAACTTATTATCATTTTAAGTTCTTTCTGAATAGTAATAAATAGTACATGTATATTTATCATGCAAGCCTATTTTTTTACCTATCATATTGCCATCTGATATCCATTAATATGAATTATTTTATTAATTCGTATTATAATAATTTAGTATGTATATTTTGAACATAAAAAATTAATGACTCCTTGGGTAAAATATCAGTAACACTTGAAGACCTCAACTGCGTGAATTGTTTGTGGAGTGTGGGCTATACTTGCAATGTTATGTGTCTAAAGAAACGTGTATATAAGTATTTTATAATATTGTTATATTTATGATCAAAACGTATTACAAGGACTTACTTCAGCCACAAGTTATACGTATTTTGCTATCTGCATAATAAAATAATACAGTTGTCGACTATATGTACATATTATGTTGTATTATATATCATACATTTATACATGCAAGTAGATACATCGTAAATATTATATGAGAAAATAAAATAAACGTGATTCAATTTCTATTGTTTGGCGAATGAATTAATATTGAAAATATTTAGATATCAATATATCATAACTATCGTGGTACTTGGGAGTTGTGTCCAACGTGATTACGGAGTGTATATCCAAAGCTTCAATTGAAAGTGGCATCGTACAAAAACCGAAAGCATTTCCGTAATTTAAAACATAAAACAATGTATCTACATTTGATTGTTCACTGTAAGCGACATACCAGTAAATAAGAAGCATAAAATAAAATAAAAAAATTATCATGGAAAAAATATCGGTCTTGAGCAAAAAAAAAAAAAAACAAAATAGTTTTAATAAAATCTTGACCCGAGGTCATTTTGTTTGGGTTAAACGTAAGTTTTACTTCACGACCTGTAAAAATAATACTTTTTTTCCATCGTCGTATAGCCAGAGTCTATACACATTTTAGTTTACCGGAAGTAGATGCGCTGTAGGCATTACATCATCATTATTATTATATTATTTTACTTGTTTCTATTTAACTTATGAATAAATAATGTTTTCTTTCTTGTCCTTTCTTGTGCACGTGATCATATTAAATCTTTTTTTATGTGATTTTTGTTTTCGAACATAATTTAACGGCACATACATATTAAACGTGATAGGGAAAAATAGTATTGTTTTGTTTTTAAATAGCCATATTCTACATTATTATTGAATACTGCAGGGACGACATACAACGACGAATTCTAAAACATGACGCATTTCTTTTGGTGGCTATTACGGCTAGTTTATTAGGTTAACGGGTGACAAGTAACGTTTAAGTTGACCAGTTGCAACACGTCTGTGTATTTAAAATATACAAAACATGCTCAATCAAAAAAGACTTTGCCATTCAGAATGTTAATAACAACATTACAAACTATATTATTGATAAAAATATAAACAATCTATCGATTACCACGTGCTATATTCAATTTATACATTCAAATTTAAATCAATTTCATATTTATAACAAGATTATAATATTTTTATATTTAATAATAGGCAATAACATATTATTTTACATTTTACTTTAAACTTATTAATTCTAAAATGTACAATATTCGAAATATTTCTGATATGCAAATATTTTGTTAGGTATTTTTGAATAAGACTAATATAAATAGATGTTTCAATATAATACTCAGTTGTATTGCTATATACTAATTAGTAATTAGTATATTTTAATTTTTAAAAATATTATGTAGCATATTATTGAATTTTAGTTAGTATTTTTCCTTGTATTTACACCATAATCTTTTAATTTTTAATTCAAATTTAGTTTTTTACTGAGCTAGTCATTCGTTCAAATTTTAAGTTACAGTTTAGTCGTGAATAATAAAATACTTATTTTTTTATAGAATTATATTAACTAGTAATTATTAGTAATTAATTTACCAATATCTGATTAAAAAAAATAGCACTAATAATACCTACAATTGCTGTATACACATCCATAAAATATTTCTATGACATCATGCATGTTCCAAGATCATGGTCAAGTATCATAAGGTTAAACACTTCACATTATAGTATTTAAAAGAAATATTTATAGGTAATATTTTTTGTTACTTATCATTAAAATATGTATACTAAATAAATAAGTAAGCTCGTATATTATTAGATATATTATATCATAATATTATACACAATACTATTTCATATTTCTTTCTAATATATTTTGTACATTTTATCTCTAATTTTTAATCATTTAAAATAAAGATTTGAATAATAGTCAAATTAATATTACAAATTATTATTAAATACATAATAATATGTTCTATGTATAAAAAAATCAAATTTCAATTTACTTATATAATCAATAGGTACAGTGTACCCATTACAAAATACTAATTAAAAAATAATATCATTGTTACTGTTTGGTTGTGTTTGCTATCCAATCATTGAAACGCGAATTTTCGAGAAGAAATCTATCTGTAAGTAACTCACTGTCGATTTTTCTTTATTTTGACTTTTTCCATAAGTGTTCAATACTTTGAATATGAACCATATCATCGTGGTTGACAAAATTGATGGAATGATTGACGGAATAGGTACATAGGTAGTAAAATAATATCACGCAAATAACATTCAAATCTACAGATAACATGATAAATTTAGGTATATTATATGTTATATCGTATATACATATATAATATATAATATATACATATAATACACAAAAATTCACTAGTTTCAGTGGTGACATATACAGTTTCATATCATTCTACTGAAATAGTTTGGAATATTCTTCTTGCTTTTAAGAAAATATGCAGTAACTTTTTTCATTTATTATTAAAAGAAACTATAATTTAAGAACAGTAAAGTAAATAATTATCAATAATAAACATAAGTAAACAATTGACAATTCATAATCCAAAAACTAAACTTATCTTAATAAGAAACGAAAAATAAGTGATTTTAAGTAAAGATTAAAAGTAAAATACAATAACTCAATTAGACTAATAACATCGTAAAAAGTTAATTTGGAATGATAGAAATATTTCACTGTCAAGAATAATGCCAAGAATTCGATTGTTAATTGTTTTTTTTTTATTATTATTACTTTAATCACTATGACTTTACAAAATAAAGCAATTTAACGATCTATACTTCCATTGCTAGCTAGTAATTAACAAGAATTATCCTACCGTAAGACATACCTATCTTAAAAAAAATATAGATAATCCAACTTTTTATTTGTATTGTAGTAAATATACAAATTACCTACATGGCCACATATATCATATTTTAGTACTTAATTAATTAAATTTTTTTTTTATTACTCAAACTAAATAATTTAATTTTTAAATTATGGTTTAAACATAAAATAAATAAGATTTATAAATGAATTCAACTCATACAAAATACTAAGCGGTAATCATATTATTAATAATAATCGATCATTAGTAGTCTCCACTTAAAAATTTCCTGGCACTTTGTTGCTGTTTTTTTTTTAATATTAATATTGTTTACTTTTTATATTATAATAATAAATTATATAGATAAATTTTTTTTTTCTAATAATAGCACTTATTTTACAGAAAAAAAATATAATACAACAATTAATGTATATTATAATTTATTAAAAATGTCAATAATGACTATTTATTTTTCTATTCTATAAATGACTATATTTTAGTTCAGCACTAAATTTTTACTGTCTTTAAAAATAATTCTTATTAGAAGTATTTATTTTTTCAACTGGTTTGCAATATATTTTAAAATATTTTAGCCAAACTTAT